GCCCCGCTGGGGAGGGCGTCGAGAAGCAGGTGCCCGGCCGGTCCCACCTGAACGGGGTGGTGGACGAAGGTGGGCGCGAGGAGGCCGAGCTGCGGGCCGAGGAGGAGGGTGCCGGCTCCAAGCTCTAACCGGGGCCACGTGCCCGTCGCCCTCGGGGCTGTTCTTCAAGCAGGGCGCCGGGGCCGGAGATGGAGACCGAGGGGAGCTGGGCATGGCTTCCCCGCGGATCACTCGGGGTTTTGCCCCCGTCTCAGCTGAGCCCCGCGCCGGCTGCACCAAGGGCTGTGTGTGTGTGTGCGTCCGTCCGTGTCCGTGTGGGTGTAAACCCCCAGTGATCCCCGCGGGCAATCTGCCTGCACGTGGCCAGGGAGGGAGCCGCGGGTGCCCGAGGCTGCCGGAGCAGGATGGGTGCGCCGTGCTCCCCTCCTGCCCTCCCTCCCGGGCAGGGGCCTGGAGCTCGCCTCCACGGTCGCTCCAGGCGCCCCTGTGCTGGGGCGACCCCATCCATCCCAAGCCTTGGCCCCAGAGCCGCGGGGACACAGCTCTGCTTGAAGAACAGCCGGGGCGGGGGCAGGCCGAGCCCTCTCCCCCATGCATGGTTGACTTTCTTGCACTAAAAGACACCCCCACCCAAACTCTATTCCATTCTTCTTGCCATGGCTGCAGCCGGCCTGCGCTGCTACCTCCGAGGTAGGCGAGGGCCGTGCCGTGCCGGGCCAGGACAAGGCACCTCCTGCCTCCAGGTCTCCACTGGGACAGTCCCTCCGCCCTTCCTGCTTTTCCTTTTGCTGGGGTTTTTTTGCAATAAGGAGCTCACACCTGAGCCTGGGTTTGGGGTGGGGGGATCCGCTGTCCAGGGAGCAGTGCGTTAGGAGCAACCAAAAACTTTGGGGGGACGTGGAGCAGGGAGGGAGGGGGGTGGGTCTGGCTTTGATTCTGCCGTAGCTAGCGGGAGCTTTACTGAGGCTGGCAGGGCAGAGCCGGGCGTTGGTGCAGGGCTCACCTGCACGGCGCCAGGGAGAGAGCTCTGCGAGCACCAGTGCCCGGGTCGGCGGTGCCCTGGATGGAGCCGGGGTCCAGTCCCAGGCTGCAGGGCGGGCTGAGCGAACGCCGCTTATTTCCTTACCGCTGACACATAGCCGATGCCCCCGTGCCCGTCTCTCCCAGGCCGGCAGCGCTTCCAGCCTCCCCCCAGCCCCAAGTCGCCACGGTGTCTTTGGATGCCCCCCTGCCTCGGAGCTGAGCCACGCGCCCCCCCACCTGCAGGGCAGCAGGAGCCTTTCTAGAGCCGGGGGCTAGGGAGCCGCGTGGCGGTTTCTGCGCATCCCCACCCCCGGCCAAGGGGGCGTTTGTCGGAGCACAAAGCTACGCATCGCAGCAATAACGCGGGCAGGGGTGCGGGAAGGCCAGGAGTCTCCCCTTTCCCGTCCAGCTGCCCCCTCCCACGGGAGACTGGGGCCTTTGGGGCAAGGAGTGCAGAGAAGGGGGGGCTGGATGGGCAGGAGACCCCACCTGGGGCTGCGTGGCACAGGCTGCGCAGAGGAAATCAGGGTGCGCCCGGCAGTGATGGGGAACCGCTGTTGAGATGCTGCAGGAGGGCTGAGCCTGGCTTTGCCCCCCCAGGACTACAGCTGCCACGCAGCCAGCAGGATGCTTTCCTGGGGAGCAGGACGGGGAGAGATGGTTCCCCCTTCCCCTCCGCGACCCTGACCCCCTCGCTGCCCAGGGGCTCCTGGCTCAAGTCCCAAAGATCCTGCCCTGCAGCTGGAGGGGCTGGAGGAGCCGGCCTGGGGGCTCAGCTCAGCTCCATTCACCCCCCCCCAGCTTTGTTTTCCGCCCCCCCCCCAACTCTGGCCACCCACGCTCACCCATCGCTCTCCCATCACACTGGTTTTCAGGGAGGGAGCTCCCCTGCCTGCCCCCACCCTCCCCGGGCGAAGACGGCAGGCACCGGGTGGGGGTCCCGGCTGCTGCCAGGCCCCCGGCCCAGCCCAGGGATTTTTAAGCGCTCCCCTACGCCAAGCATTTCCACCCCGTCCGGCCTGTAGCGCCCGCCTCTGGGGGGGCAGCGACTGTACGCGGGGGGCGACGCGGTCATAAACAACGCACCGATTCCTTTCTGCCGTGTTCTGTTTCTTTTCGTCGGAGTCAAGGAGACAAAAAGAAAAAGGGGATTATTTATTTCTTTTTAATTTATTTTGTCATATTTTTGTAAAACCTGCAGAAATGCAATAAAAATATATTTCAACAGAGCTGGGGCTCTCCGCCTGCTGCCTCGACCCCCCGCCCCGGGACGGCCTTGCCAGCTCCTGTCCGCGGGCCGGTGCCGCGAGCGGGGAGCCCCAGCTGCTCCCCACGACACCAGGCGAGAGCTTGGAGAGGCGACGGCGCACGTGGGATAAGAGGCCAGGGGGTTGCAGAGCTGGGGGGGCTTGTGATCACTGCACGAGACCCCCTGGCCCCCGTGGTATGTTGGGACTTTTAGGGGAAAGAGCAGATCTCATGGGAAGTGGTAGCACTGACCCCTTCCTTCTCCCCACAGCAGGGTCCTGGGGGCTCCAGCCCCAGGGAAGGGCATTGCCTTGCTTCTTCCCCGCCCTCTCCCCAGCAGGGCAAAGGCCTCCTGGACCTGCAGAGCCCCGGGTCCAAGGATGGCAGAGGCCCTCGCGAGCAGCCACCAGCTCGTCCGTCTGCCTCTACCAGGACGTTTCCACGCTGAACTTTGCATTCCCTGACATGAGATATCCCAGATCGTGGGGCTTTGCTCAGCATTTCAGATCCAAGTTCGAGTGAGCCGGGCAGAAGAGCCGTGCTCGTTGGATCCCTGTTATTCTGCCCCCTGCTCAGATGCATGACTAACAGGGATCCTGCTTTTCGCCAATTTAAAAGAAAAAACCCGTTTTTTAAAAAAAGCAAGCCCAAATCCACATTTGTCCATGATTAAAATGAAACACCGCTAATGTATAGATCATACGTTAGTGGTGTTTCATTTAAATTGCGGGGAAATGTGGATTTGGCCTTACTTGTTTTAAACCAAAACTTGGGGATTTTTTAAAATTGGAGAAAACCAGGATCCCTGGCGATCAAGTTACGGGGTTTAATGCATGGCCAGCCCGTACCCCCTGCACCGGCTTCTCCAGTCACGTTAGCAACTCCCTCACGCTCGTAAGGAAGGCAAAGAAAGAGAGAGCTCTAGTCCTCTAAATTCTGCAAATTTATTATACACCGTATCAAACAGGAGTTTAAAAATAAATGCTAAAATCCAACAGCCGTGACATTTGTCGAGGACAGTGTATTTACAGTGACCCTCGAGAACGCAGCCCACCCCCCGCCACGGACAAGGAGCTTTTCCAAAGACTACGGGAAAGGTCGAGAAGGAACATCCTTGTACAGAAACAGGAGGAGACGTTGTCGGTACCGCGGGCCCCTCGGCACACACAGGGAATGGCGGAAAGAAATCCTGGGATTTTGTACTCCACCCAGGCTGGACCAGACAGAGAAGTGATTTGGGATGGCTAGAGAGATAAGGCCCGGTCCCAGACATTCAGCTGTCACATGCGACTGACCTAGTCTTACGCAGATTAGTCCTAATAAAAAGCCTGGTAAAGCCGTAACAATACACTTTGCACCGCTAAGCAGGAAGAAACACGTATCCGGCAGTCCGGTCCAGCTGTGCCTGCATCTCGCACAGGGATACAAGGCAACGGAGCACTGCCGACCGCCGCTTCACGTCACTTGATAAAGACTGCCAGGGGCTGGAAGGGACCTCGCAAGACCATCGGGTCCAGCCCCCCAATCATATAATCGACTAGTCCTTGGCCATTTTCATCTGGACTTTTCCACAACCCCAGACAGACACCGTTAAGGAACAAAGCATGGGGCTAGCCAGGGAAATAGCTTCCTCTTGTCTTCTTCCTCCCGCTACGCAAGTGTGTCGAAATAAATACGATGCTAGTAAATATTAGCCGCTCAGGAATAAAAATATTCACACGCACACGTGCACACACACTACTTATCCAAGCCAGAAAGAACAGCTGACTAACTGCGTTGTTCGATATTGTTCCCCACAATGAAAAAAGCATTTTCTTAATGTTGACTAAGATCCTACAAGAAGTTACAGCCCCTGCTACGCGCAGAACAGCGACAGGGACCAGGGACCGATGCAGCGTTTCTGGTCCTGGTAGCAATGAAAAGACTTGGCTAAGCTCCCAGCAAGATGATTTGGGTTCCCCTGCGAAGGCGAGGAAGCCGAAGCAGTAACTATATCCAAGGACGGTGCTGATTCATCTCCCCAGTGCGCACAGCTCATTATTAAGGCAGCTTTGTCCTCCTAATGCTTTGGCTCTTGCAACCTGGGCATTCATTTCTCAGCCAAGGGAGCATGCCGGTAGGTACAGGAAAGCTGAGGACATGCATAAAACTCCATTTGCTATTGAGATGGGAACAGGATTCAGCCCAGGCCTGGGGAGATGCAGGCTTCTCTCGCCAGTCAATCGACGCAGCCAGCCACCTCCGCCAGCAGTTCATCTCTTCTCTGAATTCAGCTAAAGCTTGCCCGTCCTACCTTTGGATCTCTCCTACCCATAAGCCATTCCCAAGTTACAGGGTGCACGGTGAACTTGCTCGTAAGAAGCTCAATTTCTCGGGGCTCCCTAAAAATCACTAAGTATTTTCCCATCACCAGAATCACCTGGATGGCACCGGTCTGAATGGAAGTGCCACAAAACGAGTCCTTTTGCTGGCCACGATGGGGGACGGGGCGAGGGCCGAGAACACGCTTTGGCCAGGAAAAGACCCTTACTGCAAAAGAGGCTGCGATGGCTGACGTCCAGCCGCCCTGCACGCTGCGGTTCCCCGGTGCAGCCTAGGCTGCAGAGAGGACGAGACGCCCGGGAGGCACAGCTCCCTGCAGCTGTCAATCGTTAACCCAGGGAACAAGAGATCATGGCATAAGCAGACACGCAACACTAAGGACTAAAGTATGTTCCAAGCAGCAAAAGAAAGTCATATCAGTGGGACAGCAGTGGAAAAGTGCTAAGAGGTAACTAACTCTGCTTGTGACCCCAGCAGAGGCCTTCACCACTCAGCCCTGAAGGCAAGGTGCTCACTCGAGACGCCTCCGAGGTTAGCCGAGCTACTCCAAGGACAGGTTAGCGGTTTTATTTCCCCGGCCTGCCGCTGAATCCTGGCTCCACCGAGCAAACAGTCCAAGTGCTAACCAGGGAATCGCTACGTAAGGCACCGGTCGTGAGGGCTGGAGGAAGACCAGCCAACAAGATTATGGCTCTTCGAAACCCTGCAGCCGCCACCTTGGTTCAGTAGCCTGGAGCAAATCCCCTGCCCGTCACCCGAATGCTGGGCGTGTTGGGGAGCTTGGCATCTGTGGCCCCATCCTTGGCAAAGCCAGCTGTGGCAAACCACCCTCGAGCAGTGTTTGGAAGGGCAAGCCACAAATGCACCGAGCAACTGGCTCTGCACGCGTGTGCAGGCTTTTGGTCGATACTTAAGGCCTAGCCTACAAGACGCCTGCCCCAGCAGGGTCAGGGAACCGGGAGTAGCCCCCGAGCCTGGTACGGCGCAGCGCAACCTACGGGACCCGCTCCTGTTCTTCGACAGCGCTGTGTCTACAGTGGGACACGGGCCATGTTAGAAATGTGTTAATAAGACAAGGCTCAAGTCCCTTGTAAAAACAGTTCTTTAGGAATCAGCCATCGGGCTTCAGAAGTATTTAAAGTACTACTTCCTACATACTACCGTAGCTGGAGCTCTGTAAGCCGAGGCCTGTTTCTAGTCCCACCGTAGCCTCAAATGGTGGTTTTGGGGGTTGCTTCTCCCTCACTCCCCTGTCCCCTCCTGAAAGGCTGCGGCCATGCCACAGATCTCCACGGCAGTCTGGTTTGACGCAGCGCTGTCGGGGCGCGTGAATGATACCGGCTACCTTGGCTGTCTGTGGCATTCTCCTGCGCTTCCCCGTGTTTGCACCAGGAGCCGGCTGCGATGCTGAATGTGCTACCGTTACTGGGCTGAATAAGCTTCGCCAGAATAAAGCAACCTGGCTGGTTTCAAGAATCAAACACCAAAGCAAACAGAGCTGAATGGGGCCTTCGCTGATCAGATGAGGCTGCTTGCACCAACAGCCATTGGCGGTTTAAAAAATAAAACTCCCCCTGATTTTCGATGCGTTTGTGCAGCAGGAGAGAGGAAAAGCCACCCACATGCTCCTCTGGAGTCAACATGCCATGTGTGGGGTTAGCTCGTTAGCCCTCTTTGGTTTTGCCTGCACATTGGTCACTAATCTTATAGGCACACCGACTACATCCAGTTTCTACAATAAAAAAGGCAATGCCTCCAAAGAAAATAAATTAAGTTTATCCAGAGCACACCTAGCTGTGTCCAGTGGTTACTAAACAGGGATAGCACAAGCTTCGCTGCTTATTAGGACGTGGGCGGCCTGTCTTGCAGTGGAGGCTGACGCCAGCTAGCAAGACACCACGTTGGGGTGGCCTCTTCCTAGGACTTTGCCTCCTCTCGGCACAAGAGCTGCACTCCTGCTGCGGTCACCCCAGGCCGTCTACTCCGACCTGCCAAGCTCCTACTGCTTTTATACACTTGCGATACACACTGCTATGAAAAACAATACAAATACCACTGCAAAGACATGTACAAAACACCCCGAAGGGGCGCAAAATCCCAGTCACTTTGTGACAAGAGACTAAGAAACTAGAGGATCTACATGTACAAACTATGTTGGAAAAGGTCCACGGGCTCTTTTTAATAGACGGGTAGGTTCTCACATGCAGAGTCCCAACCTGATACGCTGACCACACATTTAATAGCACTAAAGGCGTGCTGCAAGCGCAGCAGCTTGAGGATGGCATTTCAGAGCCATTAGCAGCGTGGCAAGTGGATGGTACTTTCAATTCAGACTGGATCCCTTTGGCAGCTGAGCAAGACTATCAAACCGTTCAACAGGCTGCAAAGACACCTGCCTGCGAACATTAGGAAGCCCAGCCGGCTTCAGAAGCAAAGTAAGGCCTGATTAAATGGATGCTCAGGGGTTTATAGCGTGCTTGGGTTTCTCCCCGCTGTTTCAGTTCTGCTCTCAGGGAATCGAGGGAAGCTTTTTTCCTTTGTCAACTGAAAAAAATAAAATAAAACAAAAAACTTTCCGTATGATTTACTGAGATTCCGACAACTAGAAAGTAACGCCTCATCTGTCACGATTTCAAAGGCTCCCCTTCCAGCAAGGACACATTACCACCAAAGGGAAGAAAGGGCATTAACAACAGGGTGAACTGCCATCTCTCTTTAATAGTGCGTCGCTCTTGTCTAGCAGGGAAGTCAGCAAAGCTCAAATCTCTCTGCAGTGATCAGGAAGTATACAGCATTTTATGACTTCAAAGCACTGTACAAACATCAGTCTTGAGGCCGAGATCCTCAAATTAAGCTAAAAACACAGGATGGACACACTTTATCGTCAGCTATATCCCCGACTTCTTCTTTTAGAATTATGATCCTTTTAATGCATCCTAGTAAAAGTAGATGTGGACATGGCATTTTTTGCTTATTTCTTGCATTTCACACGCTGCATCTTTTTGGCAGCATGGCTCTGGGAAAAGAACGGGAGCGCCAGCAGATCACATGGAGAAGGAAAAGTATTTTTTACCTCCCCAACACAGGTGGTATTTTTACCCAAAGTTCGGGTGATCTGGAGGGGTGCTGCCACAGCAAAACAATGTTGAAGGCAGGTACAATTTGAAGTCTAAGCTACTCAACAGTGTTAACTTAAAAAAAAAAAGGTTAAATTCACACAATGTATCAGAAGCTTGTGCCTTATATACACTTAAAAATGGTTGCAGTAAGAAATGAGCTGTGCCCTGCTCTTCACAAAGTCCTGTCCCGTACGATAAAGCTGTCAGCCACACCATTTCATTCTCATAGTCTTTTTTTCCCCCTGGACACATCCTTTCCACCGGTCTCATGGGGATGCTGCAGTCAAGGGCATGGCATGGCCCCCATCCTCAAGTTTTCATCTGAGTTTAACCACTACAGTCAGACACGGCTCAAGCCCCTTATAGAATTCATCTTACGCAGGCGTACTGTTCCTGGACTCAGTTCATTCAGGAGTTGTGGATGAGCGGAGAGCAGGGGAAGAGCAATTAAATGCAACAACCTAGATTTAAACCCAACACAATGTCAGATCAGCTCCTCCGATTACACCATACTGGACAGTCAATAGTGAGCGACACCCCTGTTATCAGCCGGTTCTTTTAACTCCCTCTGAACTTTGATTTCATCTAGGCGTCTTGAGGGTTTCTGCATTTGGCTTCTACTGAAGAGTCAGTAAAGGGTTACAGGTGACAGGCACTGAGCTGTCATTGTCCAAAAGAAATAGAGTTGGTCTTGAATACAGACCATGGAAGCTCACATTTTTGGTCAGCTACTTTGCATCCAGGGGTCTTGGATTCTGCTCCAGACATACAGACACTCCAGGGCACACACAATAAGGTACCATTTTTCAGAGATAACAGTGGAGAAAGAGGAAAGAGCCAAGCTGTTCCCAATGCGATGTGTGACTTGAGGACAAAGAGCTGGCTTATGCACCCCGGCAGCAGTCAAAGGCAGGCTTACCCAACTCATCCCATCTGTCGTCGTCTAACACACACTGCCGATCAAATACTCAGCGTAGGATAAAAGCATCCTTTTTATTCCAATGGAGAAGTTGCACATACCAAGTCCTTCTGAGACGAAAGGACTTATATTTCAAGAGCAACACAAGTAACACATCTTTCACTTGTACTCTCCATGATCACTGATGCATGTGATAACGTACGCGGGCTGAACACAGGCTGCGGCCTTCACAGGACAGGCCAAAAGGGATACAATGGTTATATCAAGGTGAGAACACATTTGATAAGATCAGTATAATCCCAAATAACCCCATGATTTCTAGTATGGTGCCCATTTTGGAAGTTACATTTGGGAGGGAGACAAAGCCCCCCCCTCCGATCGCTGCTAGACTGTAAAGTTAGCCTCTGTCATAGCGATGTGTACATGGAGCAGAAAGCCTATGCCACTGAAGGGTTCTGCTGTAAACCCATGTCTCCTATCCAGGCTTCCATGGCTAGACTGGGTTAGTTAAGCAACAGGTAGCACAAAACCCAGAAGTGACAGGATGTTTTTTAAAAAGGATCAAGGGAAGTTACACTACATCGCTTGTTGACTTGCTCCACCACTGCCCCATAAGGTTCACGGCATAAATAAAAACTGGAGGGGGAAAAAAAAATAAATACATTGGCTCCTATGAAGTCAGAAGTGGTTTGGGCTGCATAGTGGGGGTGGGGGGGTGGGGAAGGGACAGAAATTTACACATTTTGAGACAAAACAGGAAGCGCCTGCAAAAGGAGGAGAGGAGCAAGCAAGAGTTTAAGTGTCCTCATTCATATCCTGGCTGTCTGTCCGAGCGATTTTCCGGGGAGGCGCCGAATTCTCACCTTCTATTTCCACTTGCTCTTGATCTCTTTTCTTTGCTGCATTCTGTTTGAAGCAAAGAGAAAGTCACATCAGCAAAATCCACCACCCCGATCTGCTGCGGAGGTGACGACATTTCAAGTGTCGGGTGATACATTCCTGTACGCGCAGATCTTAAAGCTCTTTGGGGAGAGGGGGTGGGGGGAGAATGCTGCTCTGTGGGAACTAGCTGGTGAATGCTACCATGTTTTGCCCAATGCTGAGCTGTTTATACATAGGATTTTCCTTGCAGACTGCTCTCCTACCCTGGCGGCGATGCTGGCAGGCAAACCTTCAGCCTTTGCCTCTTTTAGTTTGGGGATATCAAGTGTTTTGGAAACACTAATAAGATCCTTGTTCTCTCCCATTGCTTTGATCCAGTCTCTGAAGTTCCTCAAACCTCTCTCATGCTTCTCACACCACCAGCACAAGGTGGGGAAGGGCTTTTAGTCCCATCCTTAAAAGCTCAGGGACTAACAGAGTCAGGCAGGAAGCCTGTGGAGAAGCAGGGATGCAGATCTCTTGAGTTCTAGATTAATGCACAGGAGGGCTGGGCCAGCTTGCTTTCTGCTCATGCACGTACTGAAAACAGCAGGCCTACAGCAAGCAGGGGCCTTGTGACCCCGTTTCTCTTCCAGCGAAGCAAGCAAGGATTGGATCAAAGTGCTTGTCGCGATTAACTGCAACCCCTAGTGGCCACACCGATGGGAAGCACGCAAGACAAAGCCCCCCGGTCTGAAACCAGAGACAAAGGTTTACATGGAAAAAAGCAGGTCCGTACCTTTTTGTCCCATTGCTGATGTAAATAACGCAAAAGTATGTTCGTCTTTTCTGTTACTATGACTGTCAAAGAAAGAGAGAAACCCTCTGAAGGCACTTCTGAGGCACCACTGAAAACTGCCCAGTGAACAAGACTTCATTTCATGTACAAGTCATCCCCCTTCTCAAAAGGGCGCACACACGACCACTGGCTTTTCATACCAAAAAATTACAATAATCATTCAATAAGGACAGAGAAAAATATGCATCACTGGTAACAAGATGAGCACCTTTAATCTCTTTGGAGCTACTTAAATCAAACCCCTACCCAGAAAGCAGAGATCTGAGGTTAAAAACATTCAAATGAGATTAAGTGCATGCTGGATTTTCCATGCTAAAACTCAGAACAACGTTGCAGTCCACATCACTAGAAACCTCACACGTAAGAGGGGCACACACTCACTTTGTTCAGAAGGATATTCCCTCGTGGGAAGGTATACTGACGGTCTTCTATTCTGTAGGAGAATCAGAACAATTACACAACAAAATAACAATGAAAAAACCCCCTCCAGCCCACACTCCAAGGAGAGGTAAAAGCTCTGAGAAGGCCCGCTGATGACAGCAGGTTCATTTAAAGGAAAAACACAATAAAGCTGCACATTGCAGATGACTGCCCCGTTATGTTATAGCACGTAGGTGCAAGGTTTATTAATTTGCATGGAATAGAGGTCTCATTTCCGCACGGGGCTCCACATCACTAAACTAAAAAGGTAAAATATGGGAAGGAAATGCACCAGAACGCCAACATACTTCAGAAAGGCAGGCTGTCTGGGGAGGTCTCCTCCCCTGGGATTCTGATAAGCAATCCCAACTCATAAGGACATCACTGGTCGCTTATTTTAAGGGAAGTACAGCTCAATTAAAAACCATCTCAACCGCAGCCTCCTCTGGAGCTCTTTATGATTGCGATGCAAAGACCCATCTTCTGAAGCATCCAGGAGACTGAACGTATACGCTACTCACCGACGCTTTACATACAGAGTCTGCATGAAATCTACTGAAGTTGCTTTTGTTGTAGACAGGTAATCCTTTCAAAAAATCAGCCTACAAGGAGACAGAAGACAGCATTGGTTACTGCATTAAATAAAGAATTATACAGCAGATGAACCAGATGAGCTCAGAGGAGCAGCACAGGTGGGTAAGGTTGGTAACAGCTACCAGGTCAAATGTTGGATCTGGAGAATGAATATCTGCTGAACTACGGAAACAAGTCTAGTGTCCTACCCACTGGTCTCATTATCTAAATTGCCCGCACCTAAGCACCTTTATGGCTCTCCGGTAAAGGCTTTGCACCGATCTACTGCCATTTTCATAGAGGAGGATTTTTAACAACCCCGTTGCCTGCAGCTATGCCGTAAGGTTCTGTTTGTAAAATTAAGTCTGTCGGTGAACTTACTGGAACTTGCTTCCTGAAAGGTTTTAATGCGACTGATTTAAAGAAAACAAGCGTCCTTTGCGAGGTTAACGTATTAATCAAAGCTTGAGAATTAGTCGGAGATTTTTGCTATGAACGCTGTGTGGGTTTTTTTTTTGTATTTCAGCCTGAAGGCTGAGAGCAGGCCGGCCACTTTCACTTTCAACTGCCGGCTGCTCCACCCTGGCTCTCGCACGCTAGCACAGCGCTGCACTGCACATGATGCAGGGGAAGGTTTCAGTGAAACGAAAAGAAAGAAATCAGGGGATGGCCTCTGCAAATTTGGGTCTGTTGAAGTTGTGGGTCAGCTTGGACCTGACCTTCTGCTTTTGAGTTTGGGTTAGAGACAAAGTACACAAAGAAACCCTACTGCTGCATTGTGTACTCAGCAGATCAAAGGGAACAAATGGCAGACTGTTAGCTTGCCCATCCTGTGGCAAGCAGCCAGCTATCTACTAAGTCCCACGGGCCACCATGCACACCAAACTCTGACAATTTGATGGGCTACAGGTGTCTGGCGGAAAAAAAAGAGGGAAAAACCTCAAGGAATAGCAGTTTTCCTCCTGAGATGTTAGTAACCACAAGGGGGTTGGTTTGTTCAAATGGGCTTCGAATTAAGATGGCTACAAACTCCTCCAGCAGACGTCACGGCCTGGAGTTTACTGCAACGTACCCCTGCGAGTCACCGTGCTGTACGTCAGGGCAGCTGTGCTAGTGGTTAGAGCTGCTCCCTCTGGACCTAGCTTGGGATGCACTATCAGTCTGACCGCTGGATGTGCAGGGTCACATACGAACCGTGATGGCAGCGTGCCTGACTCGCTCCCCAGCCCGTGCAGACTAAGACACCTGGGGCAGGCAGTGGCAACAGGATCAGTAACTTAGTGGTGAGCTGCACGACAAAGGACCGCCAAGTTCTTGGGTGGGCGCTGGCTGGTCCGTCCTTCACTGTTCTCTGCCAGGTTTACCATGGCCAACAATGGCAGCGCCTCATGGGAAGCATCCCACCAACGCTACCAGCAGAAGACAGGAGGTGTGCTGCAGCTAAGCAAGCTAAACTGATGCAGGGAGAAGGGGGGTGATCTAGAAACAGAAGGGGGGAGGTCTGTTAGTCAACCCACCGTTGGCCCAGATCCAGAACCACTCTCATTCATGATGTGTCTATAGCGAAAGGATTCCCAGTGACCTTTATCCTTCCTAAGAACGAGGAAACAAAGGGGCAAATAATGCAAAAAAGGCAGTAAGTATGCTCCTTGGGGCAAGGGTGGGCTTTCAGCGATGTGCTTACACGGTGGTTTGCATGCTGGGGTCTCTGTCTGGGGGGGGGGCATGAGCCCTACCACAAACCCAAAACAAGAAGGGAAGATAACAGGGACAGCAAAGCATGGGTGTGGGGAAGGAGTGGGAGCAGTTTAACCCCCTTCCTTACCCATGTCACCGAGCAGACAGTGCACAGGGGCCCCAGTCAAAGGTCCAGGCACTACACACACGTAACGGAAAGGCAGCGCTGGGGCTGGGGCGCACGATCCCGGCGCTGCATTACTTGTTTAACAGCAAGACGCAGAGCGTCTAATGAGCAGTTATTCAACCTGAGTGTCACATGCAACAGCGGGAAGGCAGAGCCCTGCTGAAATGCCGCGACCTCGCAGGAAATTAAAAACAAAAACCGAAAAACCTCTTTTAATGGGAGCAATTATTTTCCTGTTGGTTACTGTGGCAGCTTATTCAAAGCAGCAGCCTGCGATGAAAAACATTATTTTTTTACTCCGTCCTTGCTTTTTAAGTCAATGATTTTGTTTTCCGGTTTCAGCCCCCTTTGCAGTCAAGCTTTTAGGGGTTACAGGACCAGATTTAGGACTCGTGAGATTGGGTCTTGGCTACCAGGTGTATCACAGGCTCCCTGTATAAATCACACACGAATTGCAAATCTCTCTTGTGCATCTCTAAAATGGGGACAATACCCATGCGTGCATCATCTGCCTCGACAGAAATCTCTATCAAGGACAGGGACCATTTCTTGCTTGTCTGTGCAAACCCTAACTCAGAGCCACAAGCCAAGTTTGGGGCTTCAGGCTCCAATGCAACAGAAATAAGCTTTCATCCAGATTCTGCTATTCACCACCATGCTATATCAGGTGCACCTCCCCCCATAGGCTATTCTTTGTACTTTCTTCTATATCCCCCTATTGTCGGCACTGGGCTCGGGGGAGACATGCTATCCGAAAGCTTCAAAACTGAGAAAGAGCCAGGTCCTTCTGGTGCGACCATAACTGAACATCCAGGCATCATACACTCATTCAGGATTCAGCACAAGTGTGTAACTAGGATTTCTGATCCACGCCGGTTGTATTTATCCTCCTATTTCAGATGAACTTTGCTAATGCCCCACTACAACGCAAACCAAATGCACTTTCTTCAGTCTCTCGCAGCACTCAAATGCCAGACCTTTTGCACAACTACACTGACCTAGCCACTTCAGCTGCTCTCTACTAAGCCCCAGCTCATCCGCAGTTTCAAAGCATGGAAGGAGCAAAAATACACTTGTTTTTCAGTAACTCTCTCTCCCCTTACTGCACCTTCTTGACTCAATGGATATATCCCAGGTGACACAGCCAGCATTTTGCTTTGTGATAGCCTGGGTCACTGTGTTCCCAGAAAAGATTCTGTTATTGTACAATGTGTTTCTGCAGGAAACGTTGAGCAAGCCTGCATCTCGACATCCTTAGAGCACGCTGAAAGATCTCCTTTTAGAAGAGCTTTTCTCCAAACAGTTGTCCTGCAAGGCACCTGACAGAGAAGGAATCACTTGCAATGACTAGAGGCTGCTGCAAATAACCCCCAGCTAGTTTAAAAACTACCTGAGGATGCCCTACTTTCTGGGAGGTATCTAATCATGCTGAACCCAAAGGCACTGCTGTCAAAGAATATTACAAAAGTATAAATGCCACACACAGAGACCTGAATTAGCAAGAGTTCAGGTCAAGACAAGGCACTTCAGCTAACTTCTACAGAAAGCAGAAAGAACTGGGGTTTTGCTCCTGATGAGACCTACAGTAAGACTGTGTAAGCAGAGAGCAAGGTGACTTGGTCTGTAGAAGGGTCAGATGCGGCAATGTTTACAGCTTGGGTTCTCTCCTCCTCCAGCACTACAAAGCGATGCTGCATCCCTCGACAGGAGCTGTAAGGACTTAAAACAAGGCTCTGTTTCCTCGAGGCACCAAGTGAAGAACTGTGCAATCAGTCCATGGCAGCTGCGCAGTTTACCAGGGGACTGAAAGCTAATATTTCTTTACTCTGCCAAGTGCCCCGTCAAACTCTGTGTTCTGTCACCAACATGAAAAGGTCATTTAAACAGTGAAGCCCCCTCTCCAGAGATCGCAGTCAGAACCCCGTTTTGACGGACTGCAAATAAGTAGTGATTGAAGATTTTCCAAAAGCCGTCTCCCCCACAGAAGAGAGGGGACGGCAAAACACCCGGTTATTTACTTTCTGGGCGATGTGTTTCTTGGTGCCTCCTAAAATACGTACAATTGTCCCCACGTTTGGGCATCTCAGCTTACCAGAAGCCAACACAGGACTGAAGCCACTCTCTAGATATATATCTAAAGATAAATGAGATACAGGAAAATAATTTTATGATGTAAAAGTGCTTTTCAAAGTGTCAGTGGACTCCACCAGTATCAGTCCAGCCTTTCCCATTTCAATGACAAAAGCAAGACAAACATCAGCCTTGCATCGGACCAAAGAGAACTACAGGAACCTCGCTTGTTTGCACCCACACGGCAGCACCACAACACCTTAGCTCCAAAGGGAACAGGCAAAGAAAGGCTTGAGTTTCCCTGGTTACTAGCCACAACCCTCTCTTTCCTACACCAGGAATTATTTGAATGATTCAGCTTCAGCCTCACTGGAAGCCTTTACTAGGCATTGATCATAATTAGAGATACGAGCAGGAAAACAAAAGCAGTACTAAAAAACCTACAGAGCTCTACCTCTGACTGTTCAACCGACCTGCAATGACGCCACAAGCCTAGCTGCAAATTCTTTTTAACTTAAGGGACTGGAGATCACGATGGCGATAACCTTGTCCACACAAGTTTGAATTTCGCCATCAGGGTAGCTCAGTCGAAGTCTCCAAAATCCTGGAATAGACTCCTTGGAGGAACTGGTGGAAGCCCCACGAGCCCAGACATTCAAAACTGGACGAGACACACTGAAATGAACCCTGCGTTGTTGGGTTTTTTTAAATTTAAATCCAAATCATTTCCCAATCTCTTCTGGAGCAAAGCTCCATATGTACCTAGAAAGCTTCGCGGGCCATAAAGATACACCCAGGCCAGTATTCGTTTCTATGGGTCCAGGAAAGAGAATCGCCCTGCATTTACTGCAGCCAGGCCGTTCTCTCTTTCCTGGACCCACAGAAACGAATCGCCCTGCGTTGACTTCAAGAGATGTGGGCTAGCTCGGAAAGTGTCGGGTCGTTCTCATATACATCACGTGGGACGTGCTGGAGGAATGATTTGCTGGCCGCTCTCGGCCTTCCTGGATGGGGCAGGATAGAAATCCATATAATAACACTGTCTCGGAGGATCACGATGCCCCTTTATAAACCCGTGGTGCGCCCACGCTTCACCCAGCTCTGGTCTTTACACCTCAAAACCTGTGGTGTAAAGAACCGGGGGGGCGTCTGCTCACCAGGGCACTGCTCCAGAAGACAAGGTCCAACGGTCACAAACTGCTGGAAGACCGTTTTAAACCGGACATGAGGGAAAACGTCTCGACCGCCCGAGTCTCCAGAGTCTGAAGCAGACTCCCCAGGAGCGCAAGCTGGGTGCCTTGGATGTTTATCTTGCTGGGGCGACGTGCAAGGTGGCCGTTCGCCCGGTTTTCTGCCGCCCCATCCGTTTGATACGAAACCGGACGCCTTCCCTCTTCCACCCGTCCGACAGAACGGCGTCCGGATCCGCATCGCAAAGCCAGGCGGTCCTCTATCAAACCGGGCGAACGGCCGTCCTCGCGATGGGGCCCCGGCCGACCCCTGCCCCTCGAGCGGGCGCCGGCGCGGCCCCAACGCCTGCGACTCCCGCTGAGCGCCGCGCAACACGGACCCCGACCGGGGCAAAAATTGGGGGCGATGCAGAAAAGGAGGGCGTGGGGGGGAAACGCTGGCTTGAAAAACCTCCGGCACCGTGCCGCTGCGCTCCACCACCTGGCTTGTTATCTTAATAATCATAATCATCATCACGATAGCAATGATAATAATCATAATAATGAGGATAGTAATCATCCTCATAATAATAATAGTAATGATAATAATAATAATAATAATAATGATAGTAATAATAACTGATGGTGATGATAGTAATGATAATAATAATAATAATAATGATGATAGTAATAATCCTCATAATAATAATAATAATAACAACAACAAATAGTGATGATAGTATTGATAATAATAACCATGATAAGTAATGATAATCGTGATAATGAGGACAGTAATGATAATAATCACGACAGCGGTAATGAGAATGGTGATAATAATCGTGACGACGGTAATGATCGCGACAGGAATGATAATAATGATGACAATGATAGTCATAATAATCATGGTGACAGTAATGATGATGATCGCTGGAATATTAGTGATGATAACACTAATGATGGTGACGACACCGCTACGGGGGACAGTAATAAAGACAGACGGTGATTAAAATAAAAGGATGAAGGGAAGGGAAGAAAGAAACGAGGGGGGGAGGGGAGCGAGGGAGGAAGCGGCCCCCCAGCCCGGTCCCCTGGGCCCAGCCCGAGCAGCGCGGGGAGGGGAGGCGAGGGGGGAGGCCGCCGCCCCTGAGGGAGCATGATGGTGACGACACCGCTACGGGGGACAGTAATAAAGACAGACGGTGATTAAAATAAAAGGATGAAGGGAAGGGAAGAAAGAAACGAGGGGGGGAGGGGAGCGAGGGAGGAAGCGGCCCCCCAGCCCGGTCCCCTGGGCCCAGCCCGAGCAGCGCGGGGAGGGGAGGCGAGGGGGGAGGCCGCCGCCCCTGAGGGAGCAGGCCTCGGCCCCCGGGGGCCGCC